TAAGTGCACGCGCGCGGGTGCGGGTTGGGGCGTGGGATCTTGGAGATGGGAATAGGGACCGCACCGGCCACATAGACCATCCCTGGCGGCGTTTCCCCGAGGCCGCGTGGGTCTGAGATTCTAGCCCCATCCCAGCTCTGCCCTCTCTTATCGCCCCAGCTAGAGCCCCTTCGCTTCCCACCCCCCACCACAAGATCATTTCAGCTTTGACAACTCCAAAAAAACCACATTCCCCCTCAAATGAGAGCTCAGATGTGTCATTTATTTGGATCCAGCTGAGCGACAGCAAAATCGGCCAATTTCTTATGCTGTTGAGAGACGCACTAGCCGGATCTCTAGCTCTAACACAGACGTGTGTGTGTGTGTTTGTGTGTGTGTGTGTGTGTGTGTGTGTGTGTGTGTGTGTGTGTGTGTGTGTGTGTGTGTGTAAATTCACCTTGAAAGCTACAGCAGCCTCTCCCGGCCCCCAAACACTGCCTCCAGATAAACCGACGTGCCAATTCAGGCAGTCAGGAGTTGTAGAGCCCAAAGCGTGTGATTCTGTATTATTTCCCGTCCTTCCACATTCCTAATCCTTAACCCCAGTGGGGCGGAAGAACAGTTTGCTGCCTCCAGGTAGAGACGATCGCCTTAATGCACAGCCTCAGACCCCGGGTTCGGTCTCTAGGTTGCTACCCTGTTCAACCTACCGTCTCCCCCCAAAGAATAACTTTGATGCTTTCTTTTGCACGTAGATTTGCAATTTGTTCATTTAATTTTGCATAGTGATGGGACGTTGAGCTTTAACAGGTCTAGCATCGCTAAAAGTCCCCAAAGCAGATTTTCTCCCCATCCAGAAACTGTGCCCCATCTCACGACTTTCTGATCTTGGAAAGGGCTGGAATTTAGAGCTCTGTAATCTCCTTGCCCCTAAAAGTTTCAGAAGAGATATTAAAATACTGATGCAGAAAGATCGGTTATCATGTTCTCTTCTTCTTCTTTTTTTTAAGAATCTGACAAAAATAAGCCATCCCAGCTAAATAAAAGACTAGAACAGGGAACTTTTAAGGAAGACACTGGAGCTCTTCAAAGGAACAAGGTAGAGAGTTGGTGGGAAGAGAGGTTCAATTCCCTCCTAAGCCCACTTTGAACAGGAAGGCGTTTAGCCTTGACATTGCTGACACAGGATCAAAGATTGATTTATCAGACTGACCATTTTTCAATAAAATGACTATTTCTGTTTCCATGCATGTATAAACATTATTTATTGCGCAGGCTTTTTGTCACATTGTCTCTCAGCTGTCACTTAAATATATTTTTTGGAAGTCACAGCTGTAACGATTTTATGATCATATAAAATAATGAAAATACAAGAAAAAGACATTCTCCTTGTTTGATCGCTTCAAAAGACACCTATGGCAGCTTGGGTTATATAAAAGGTACCTTTCTAAACATTTCACAACTAATAGAGAACATCTGGGGAGAGATGATGATGTAATTTTTTGTTAAAGTTTCTTTTCAAAAAGTACTTTATGGAACTATAACACTGTTTGATTCTTCCAAACATTTAGTGTCCTTAATAACAATAGAAAGAATTTTTTCCAAAGGTTTTTTTTTTTTTGTAAAAGCCAAAAGAATTAGAAAATGGAAATATTTAAAGGACCCTTCAGTAAGGAAAGAACAGCATGTCTGTGGGGAGAGTGTAACATCAGATTTCAACAGGTGTTGATTAGACAGATACAGACAGTTCTTAAGACATAATGTCAAATAAATGGGATGGAGGAGCCTCTAAAAGTCGGCTTCCCCCAAAGCCAAGTCCAGACACATTGTGTCACTGAGATCAGAGCCTTCTTGGGAAAAGTCTTTGACGTGTTCTCCCCAAAGCTCATTGCCTCTTCCCTGTCCTTCAGTCCCCCAACTGGAGATGTTGCCTCTGCCACCCTGCCCAGAGCGTCATCTGGTGCCCTGGTTTTATGACAATCATCACTCCATTGTGGGGGTGGCTTCTGCCAGATCACTCACCATGCCTGCCTTGCCCATTTCTCCACTGAATTAAAAGTATATAACCCTTACTTTGTAATATCACCAAAAGGATACGGAATTCATATTTTAAAGTGCTTTGAGCTCTTAGAAGGCTCCCAGGGAGGCTAAGTGTGGTGGCTCATGCCTGTAATCCTAGCACTTTGAGGAGGTTGAGGTGGGAGAACTACTTGAGCCCAGGCGTTCCAGACCAGCCTAGGCAACATAATGAGAACTCATCTCTATAAAAAATACACATACAGGGATGCCAAAAAAAGTATACACATTTTAAGAGATATTACCTATGCTTTACTTTTCGAAGTTGAATTAAATTATAGCAGCAATGTGTAGTATGAGTTCGCTCAACTGTGCTTCTGCCATTTTCTTTGTCCTGCCTGTTGCGTGGTGATGTTAATATTTATTTGATTAATACCATCTTTTAAGTAAATGTCATACTTAAAATGTGTATACAATTTTTTGTCACTCCCTGTATACATATTTTAAAAAGAGGGGGTGGGGGACAGTGGGAAGAAGAAGGCTTTTTGGAAACACCAAGCCAGGCCTTGGTGTTCACCTTTGTGTTGGCCCCTTACAGGTACATGAGAGCTACAGGTGGCTCCTCCAGGGTGATGTGTGACAATGTGCCAGGCCTGGTGAGTCGCCAGCGGCAGCTGTGCCACCGACACCCAGACGTGATGCGTGCCGTTGGCCTGGGCGTAGCCGAGTGGACAGCAGAGTGCCAGCACCAGTTTCGCCAGCACCGCTGGAACTGCAACACCCTGGACAGGGATCACAGCCTTTTTGGCAGGGTCCTGCTCCGAAGTAAGTCTGCTTTCACCCACCCCTTGGGCTCTCCACTCATAATAGCTCACCTACTTTGTCTTCAAAGCCCCTACTCATCTTTTATTGCATTTCATTCTGTCAACAGTTTGTTCTGCTGGGTGGCATTGTCCCTGTTTTACAGGTGAGGACTAGAGAAACCAAGCAACATGTCTAGAGTCTTACAAGAGCCCCGTCACAGAGTGGGAGATGGTACCATGGCTTCTCTCTTCACTCTTTGCTCTGTCACTTCAAGCCTACACATCCTCCAGGCTCAGATGTTGTCTCTAGGAGAAGGGAGGAAGCAGCCCTAAGGCTCTTTTGACTTTTTCCTCATCTTTCTGGAGCTTCCTTCAGAAGAATTTAAGCAGATGATCAGGATAGAATGCTCCAATCTTTTCTTTGCCATAGATTGTCATAGATACAAAAACACCATGAAGGTGTTCTTAAGAAGCAAAGACAAATCTCTACTCACCACCTTTGACCTCCCATTCAGCAACTCAGCCTCGGGTCACTCTGTGTCTAAGTTTAGCATTTTTTTCACCAACAGATTGTACATTCCTTAAGAGCAAGAACTAGCCAGTGTTCTTCGCACCTCAAGGTGCCTTGTGTTTTGAAGGCACCATTTATTTGTTATGATGAATGAATGGATGAACTTGTAGTGAGCACCTATTATTTTTCAGCTACATTATAGACAATAAGGATATTTATGGAGGATAGGAGTAAGAAACATAGTTGTTTTTTTTTTCCTTAGAAGGAGCCTTACTCATATCTAATTACATAATAAATGTCTTAAAAGTTCTGAAAATGAAAAGCAGCTCACTTGCTAGTATGAAATCAGGGAAGATAAATTGAAAATCAGATTTCATTTTTCCAGTAATACTCATTTATTCAGCTGGCATTATTAGCATTCTCCAAAAAATACCACAGCCCACTTGCTATTAAGAAATCTTACTGAAAACACAGCAGTTAATGTGTGAACCCCAGAAACAAGAGATTTTACACTTGTTTTTGCCCACCCCCCCCAATTCTAAGAAAAATCATCCAGACTGTGCACTTGGTAATGCTTAACAGAGGGTGTTTCTATCATGTAATCATCACAGCCCTAGGGTTTTATGAGGCCAAATGCATAACTGAATGTCTCTAAAATCCCCCAAGGGCGTAGTACTCTCATTCTTAGAGTATCCCTAAAGTTAATTTACTGCGATATTCTGCAATTTTATTCTCTAGTTTAAAAACTATATTCTTCTGCATTCCTTTTGGAGTTTCGATATGACATCGCAAATTTTGAAAGGTTAATAGTAAATTTCAGCTTCATGGAATCTTAAGACTTCACCTAGATTATCTCAGCAGTGAATCAATTAAAGTACTGGACCTTGTCAAAGAGAGTTTGCATGGGATATGCACATATATGTGTTATATGTAAGCTCTCGGTATTTAAAGTGGATTAGGATTTTTCTTTTTTGAAGTGCTCACAGCCATCCAACTTCAAATTAGATATACTTCTCATGTATACAATGATCACCTCTAGATTCATTAAGATGTCTTCATACTAGGAAAAAAACCCTTTAGATCACAAATCAAAGGAAGCCATTTTGACCTAAAGATGGCATATCTGCCAAAACTGAGGATTCATTCATAAAATACTTGAAGTTGATCTTGGCAATATTTGTTTATTTTTATAGCTGTAGAATTGCTGAGAGAGAGAAGGTTAGAACTAGAGGAAACAGAACTCATTCGACTTAGTCTAAGGCCTCAGGTAAATAAGGGATTCTAACTTGTACTTCCTTCAAATTTCTTTCAGCTGAAGCTGAATGTTTTGCCAAAGGACTCAGAACTTAAAACACTCATGCTACACAATTTCTTTCCATTCTTCACAGAAGGCCAGATTCTTTCCCAGACATTTATGCAAACTCCTGTGACTGTCAGTGATGATTTTGTGTTGGTTATGGGAGGGCCAAATTTGGCCTAAAGCAGCTTATCCTGGAAATAATCCTGAAATTCCATTGAAGCTATCCAAAGATTTTTACAATTAGTTGGTTGGGGAGAAATTTACATCTTAGAGTTGTGAAAAACACTCTTTAGGAAACCTAAATGTGCTTATAGATGAATAAGGGCAAAGGGCAACACCATCTATCAGAACATAAAGTTACTAAAATTTCCCATGGTCATAGAGAAATAGAGAATATTTGCCTGTTTTGTTTGAGAGAGCCAGAGTAAGACAGAACAATTTTTACAAGCATTTGTAATTTACTCATTCAACAGTTACCAGTCACAGCCAGAGAAACAAAGACCCCAAAATCTTCTTGCAAGAATACATCTGCAAAATTCTACACTAAGCCTTAAAAAAGCAAAAAGGCAATTAAGTCTCATCCTTGTAAATGTTAAAAAAAAAAAAGCAAATATTTTAAAAGAGAGTTGAGCAACCCATAACCTTCAAGAAACCCTAACTTCTAATGTTTTGCCTTCCCAGGTAACAACCTCCCACCCCAGATAAAAACTGTGTCTATGTGCTTAGTAGACATGGTTTGATTTATCTCAGTCCAAAAATTAGAGAAACTTCAATAGTAACGCATCAGGAAGTATAAATATCACCATCTAGATTTGGATTTTGTTTCATTTTATGATGGCTTTAAAAAGAATCAGTTTTTCTAAGAAGAGGCCCAAGATCAAAATTTGTTTTGTTACAAAGCCAACTCTTGAAATGTGCTACTATTTCACACATAGCATTTTAGTGATTCATCTAAAACACTTAACTGAAAACATCTTAGGGCCATATCTACATGATACCAAACCATCTGGAGGTAAAATGAAAAGTCAGTCAGTTAAGTACTAAATTTTCTATTTAAGTAAATGAACATCTACCTAAGTAATAATGCGTTTGCATAATAAATGATGAATACTTAAAAAGGTGATATTTCTGCCTTGCAAGTATATTTCTGAAATGTAGCAGATTGCAATTTTTTTTCTTTCAGCCAACAAGTTATTGTAATTGTAAGTTACACTGGGATGAATTCTGCACCTAGACAATGTATTCCTCTTACTGCTTTCAAAATACTATCTGGCCACTGACATCCTGTCATTCACATCTTCCATGCCTTTCCCCTCAAAAACTGTCTCACAAAATTTCTCTTATTTCTCCTTTAAAAAATAAAAATAGGCTAAATACTTAAGCATTTGGAAATTTGCTTCCTATGTGATGTCTCTCTAAATTTGAGCACTGGCCTCCAATTCTAAGACCAGGCTTTAGAAGATAAATGACGTATCATATGGACAGGTATTTTTTTTAAACTGTAAAATGGATATAATACAAATTTTATGTATCTGAAAGCCACTATCTGAGATTAAGCCACATTCTAATCTATCAGTCACCTTCTTTTATAAAGCATCTCAATTCCACTTAGAATATCTGTGATCCTAATAGTGTAAACTGGGACTCTTTAAAACAGCTCCTATGACCATCACATTTCTCTCTGGGGAGCACTACCTGCTACCAACGGCAAACATTCATATAATTGATTTTACCTAACTATGGGCATCATGGATTCCTTTTTTGATGGTTAGAGGTTTTGTGGGGAGATCTTTTCTGAAGGCTGAGGTAAGTGCCATTTAATATGATGTAGATATGTTTTCCTGATTTTTAATAATGAGACTAGCAGAGCAAATATTGCAAGGGACGTATAATAAATTTTAGCACCAAATGACAAACGGAAACAAGTGGGGCTTCGATGCGAAAAGGTGGTTTGTTCTCCCAGCTGTGTGGTTCAAAAAGTCACACTTGTCTTGACATATTGAATCACCGAATGGTTCTCTGTTTTCTGTCTTGCATTGGCATTAGGTTGTCCAGCTTCTATTTTGATTGTTAATATATTTGCTGCAGCAACCATTAATAAAAAGGCATGCTAATAACAATGAAATACAGTTCCACTTGAAAAACGAGGTGCACACAGACCCTAAAGAGCCTTATATCTGTCACTATACCACAACACCGTGTTATGAGTTACTACAGATTATTAAAATAATTTAATGTAGTTATTGCACTGAAATATGTACCTTTCAGCCTGTAAGTGAAAGTAGCCTGCGCTCTAATAAAGAACAATTCTAAGAAAGCACCCCAAAGGGTTCTTGCCCAAGTCTAATTATAGGCGGTAAATTTGTTTCCTTCCAGAAAAACCAAAGAAAAGCTTTTCACTGTCTTTTACCCAATACCAGTGATTAGTGCAGGTGTTCCAGAAGAAAGTAAATTCACCTTAATAGTTAGACATAGTATGTAATTCTAGGATATTGCATATTGCCTTCAACAATCTCTCAATTACTTGTGAAAGTCAATGCCAAGCTAAAGCTCTCCAGTGTTAATGCAAGGGACTAGTTACTGCCAGAATTCTCTTCCCACCTCAGTCCCTAGATTTCTTTGAATTCAGTATTTCATTCTCAATCATTTAAACGCATACGAGTGTCCTCAGTAATGCCTGGGGGTTTGGGAGATTTTTCCAAGGGAGACTTGTGGTGTCATGAATACTCACATATGTTCTGAAATATTAGAATTGTAGAATTTAGGCTGTATTTTACAGATGAAGAAACTAAAGCCTAGAGATGCTATGCTCTGCTCCTTTCTTCTAGGACATCTAGGGCTCTCTGTTGAAGCAGAGCAAGCATGTGCCTGAGACTCATGTGAAGCCAGGAGCCAAACAAGGCCCTCTGTTTCTTTGATAGTCTTCATTTACGTTAAGAAGAGTTGTCATACAGATATCTAAATTGACAAAAACCAATATGAGATGAGGATTATTCACATGAAAGAAAGAGGCTTGGCTCTAGAAAAAAATCCTTCAAGAGTATGAGTACCTTTTTGTCCAGTGACAAAGGGTGTCAGAGGCAGAACAAGCATTAAACAGTCACCATGTGAAAGTTATTCACAAGTAGCACTACCAGACCAATTTTAAGAAAAGCATTTTTGTTTCAGGTAGTCGGGAATCTGCCTTTGTTTACGCCATCTCCTCAGCTGGAGTTGTATTTGCCATCACCAGGGCCTGTAGCCAAGGAGAATTAAAATCCTGTTCCTGTGATCCAAAGAAGAAGGGAACTGCCAAGGACAGCAAGGGCACTTTCGACTGGGGTGGCTGCAGTGATAACATTGACTATGGGATCAAATTTGCCCGAGCCTTTGTGGATGCCAAGGAAAGGAAAGGAAAGGATGCCAGAGCCTTGATGAATCTTCATAACAACAGAGCTGGCAGGAAGGTATGGAAATGCAACGGTGCTCGTTTTGTAGACTGCTTGGCTTTATAAATCACTTAAGCAGAGCTTATCTTCAACTTTCCTAGAGTTGATAAAATGCTGTCTAGTCACTTCCCACTGTCTCCCAGCCCATAGCTGTTCTAAAGAATACCACCGACTGGGTTGAAATATCCCCACCCACACTCCACTTTCCTTCCCACAGCTGAGCTGAAGGAGTCCACCCATTGCTTTTGGCATTGTGTTGAGTCAAGTGTTTTATGGTCCCTCTGGATACTGTATCATCTGGGCAGAAGATATAGTCTGTGGGTTAGGATAGTGCTTCATCCCACATAAAAATGGTATATTGAATGCTTATATCTAAGGGATATAAAGACCCAGAACATCTTTTCCCAAACTTTTCATGAACACAATTCACCAAGCATAGTTTTTGGCTTCTTCTAGATTCATGGATGCTCTCTTTTAGAACCAGATCCAGCTTGCACTCACATAAGCCCCATCTTGTGGTTTTTGGTACTGGATGGGTAAATGGACCAGGGACCAAGACATGGTCCCCCAAAGTGTTCTGTAGCCCCTTCTCCTCTAATCCTGATTACTTCCTGGGCTGCAGGTACAAGAGGAATCAAAGAAATCCAGAATTTTTGGAGGGCAGGCCCCTTTGTAGTACAGGCTTCCTTCACTAGGTAAGGGAACTAGGAACCCATCGGCATCAATGTACCGGCTAGCGTTGTTGTGAGAGATTGCATTCGGCTTTGGTGGATTTTTTTTTTTTTGGAGATTCTTGCAACATGTTCATCCATTTCATGACGGGTGATTTACAAGCACACCTGCCCACACTGAGCTGAATATTCAGGCATTTTTTGCTCAAAAACAGCATGACCTCTCATGCCCCACCTTCCTTATTCACCTGATCTCACCCTGAGCAACTTTTTTGTTTGTTTCTCTGATGAGAATAGTCCTCAAAGGGAAATGTTTTGCTGATGTAGAAGAGGTGAAACTGAAAATGGCACAAGTACTAAAAGGCATCAAAATTGACTAGTTCAAAAATTGTTTTGAGCAGTAGAAAAAGCGTCTTGATAGTGTATTGCCTCAAACGGAGAGTCCTTTGAAAGTGACTAAAGTTTAACATATAAGAATAATTACACTATTTTTAATAAATAAATTCTGGGTCTTTTGGGGGTCCTTCCTCATATCTGGTCAGCATTTACCCCCGACCTCCATTTCTTAGACGTGGAGACTGAGGCCCTCCAGGTGCTCAAGGTCACATGAGGAGTCAGTAGAAAAGTCAGGACCAGAGGTCAGGTTTCAACTCCTAGTCCAGGGGTGCTTTGACCTAGGATTAAACCATTTCAATGCCAATGTTCAGCTCTATTTATGAACCATGTCTTTCTGTATGGTGTCTTGACTAGAATAATGAGAGAATCTGAATGCTGCACTTGATGCCTTTGTGTAGAAAGCATAAACTGGCTGGGCTAATCAAATATTTGGTCAGAACCATTCAAGAATAATCTAAACACCAATAGGAAGAGATAACCATAATTTGTCTTTTATCAACACAGCATAAAAATGTGCTTGATATTAATGTATACAGAAAGATCAGCATAAAATTGAAAGATCCCCAGGGGGCCTTAATAGAAAAAAGAATAGAAAAGAATGCAAATCTGTTTGGATGAAAATCCTTTTATTAGACTCCTGGAGAGAACAAATCTCATTTAAAGGAAGTTGGATGGAAAGAACTCTTGCTGAGTACATGGAATAAGATGAGTGTGACCTGAACTGTTTACAAATAGTACCTTTCTTGAACTTTAAAAGGCAACATTCCTTATTTTTATGAATTTATGAACTTATAGTGATTACTGCCAAGAATATAGACTGTGGTTGTGTAACTCTACAACTATTGGTAATTACTGTTTGTGCAATGATTTGGATAAAAAAGTTTACATTGACTTTTGTCTTAACATTGATACCACATGTATAAGTTATCAAGTGTGGTGTGTTTGATAGGAGCGTGCTGCTTAATTGTTCAAACAGGGTATGCAGTTAGATTTCACTGACTATTTGAAAAGAAAAGGCAGATGGTCAGACACTGTATCCAAAAGAATGTTGACTTATCAAAATAAATATTAATTTTGCTAAATAGGTCATTAGATATTGAATGTTTCAACTCTTCAAGACAATAGATCTTAGCTATTCTATCGTAGGCCCTGAATAAACACAACTTTTAATGTAAATCACATGACTCTTCACTGTGTAGAGGTGAACAGCTGTCAGGCCTCAGATATTCTCCTGACTACTCTGCAAAACTTAGGAGGCTACTTTTGATTGGAATAAAAGTGCACACACTGACTTTTTAAAATGTGGCTTTAATTAATGGTGGGTGGGCAGACTTTTTCAAGGAGATGCATGATGTCAGTGAATATGAACTTTAATGAGAGTAAATGTATTGAGATAAACATGCGTCTCTAATTCTCTTCTTGCGGTCATTAGACCCCCAGTCTATACTCCCCCTTCGTACCAGCAGAAGGTCTGTGGAATCAAAATGAGAACAGGCTGGGCTTGTGCTTGAAGGCAGACCTGAGCTAAGCCTCCAATGGCCCTACTCGAGAAAGTTCCAGCCTCCCAGGCTGACAGTAATGTCAGCCTGCTTTTTTTCTTCTTCTTCTTCTTTGTGCTTTTCAGTATTTTCCAAATTGTCCAATATGGACATCTACTTTTTAAACTGGGAGGGTTACGGGAGACGTATCCATTTTATTGGGAAAAAAAGCCATCTATGCCAAGATTGTTCTGTTTAGTCAGTGCTAAAAGTCAGAATTCACCACTGCCATTCACAACAGGGCTTAATTTTTTCCCCAGTGTTGGAACTGTTTAGTTTATTTATTATAACAGCTGGTTAGAGCACCCTCATGTGTCTCTGTACTGTAATATCATTTTAGATCATTTGTGCTGCTGTGATATCATTTATTTTAATCATAGTTTCAGTGGAATTTATAATGATATTTTTTCTTTCATGTCTACTTGAATACGCATTCTTGATTGAAGCTAGTTTTCCACCCCCAAACCAGACTATTAACAGGTACTAAAAAGATGTCTACACTGTTCACAACAAATATTCTATCAAGAAGGAACTTCCATAGCTTTCCTCAGCAGCTCTTTTTAGGTCTAAAGAAGCCATGCTATGAAAACTTCCAAATTATATTTTAAGATGGTTTTAAGTAAATTACATGTGAAAGGTACCTGGTCAATATCCACCATTTGTTCCCTTTCCCAAGTTTGCAAATGCCTTTTAAATTAGTTCACTCTTTTCTCTAAGATGAGATAATCATAACCTCTTTAAACTTTTCTAAGGGAATCTGTATCAAAATAACTCATGTATCCACTCAAACAGTGTCCTTCAATCACTCTGGAAATTTCCATAAGGATAAGAGGGATTCCATAAAAATACTTTCTCCAACAGTGTCTTCTACTATAGTAAAAACAGAAAGACCATGGGATTTGAAATCAGACCCATCTTGGTTTTAATCCTGCAATACTAGTGGCTTTGCTCGCGAAATCTCAGTTTTTCTCACGTGTAAAAGAGTATTATGTGGTGTTATGGGAAGATAGTGGAAGGCAAATTGCCCAGAGCCTGACAGGTAGTAGGTACTCAGTAAACTTTAATTCCTTCTCTTTAGTGAAGGGAAGGTTGTTTGTAAATTAGGTAACCAAGCTAGGCATAAATCCAGTTTGAACTATTATTTAGAACTCAATCTGATCACTCCTTCTTTTCACAGTCATCTGCTGTTCTGTACATACTAATAAGACCAGGCATATAGTATTTTCTAATTTGCAAAATACTGTCAAATGTTTTATAATTTGATCTTTCCAAAACTCCTATAGGAATTTAAAACAGCACTAATATTTCTCCTTTTCAGATGAGAAACAGGCCTCCAAGGGACAGGGACTCACCTAGGGTCACATAATCCTCAAGCATGAGGCCAGGGGGTTCAAATTCACTTGTCTACCATATGCCCTTGTCTACATTTCCATATTCAGAATTTCTGAAAAAAAACTATATATATATACTATATATATGTATATATTTTTTTTCTTTTGAGTCAGAGTCTCACTCTGTTGCCCTGGCTGGAGGGCAGTGGCACTCACGGCTGCTGCAGCCTTCATATGCTAGGCTCAGGTGATCCTTCTGCCTCAGCCTCCCGAGTAGCTGGGACTACAGGTGTAGTCCACAGCTAATTTTTTAATTTATTGTAGAGATGAAGTCTCACCATGTTGCCCAAGCTGGTTTCAAACTCCTGGACTCAGGCAATCCTCTTGCCTCAGGCTCTAAAAGTGCTGAGATTACAGGTGTGGAGCCATTGTGCCTGGCATCTATATATATTTTTTAAAACAGCAAAGTAGCTATCTTGGAAGCTAGTTTACTGATGATTTTTTCTTTTGTGTGTGTCTTTACTTCACACATTTTCTAAAATAAATGTGTATTCATTTTCAACAAGAAAAAAGTTTTAAAATGCTGAAAACATAACTGCCAGTCATTGTGAACACACCTGAAGCAACTTAGCCTGATTTGAGTATTCATAAAATTTCAGCTAGTAGCTCTGCAAGTTTGAGAGCACTATGCCCGTTGCAGTGGCTCAAGCCTGGAATCCCAGCACTTTGGGAGGCTGAGGCAAGAGGATTGTCTGAGCCCACAGTTTCATGACCTGCCTGGGCAACATGGTAAGACCTCGACTCTGCAATAAATAAAAAAATTAGCCAGGTGTGGTAGCGTGTACCTGTAGTTCTGGCTACTTGGAAGGCTGAGGCAGAAGGACTGTCTGAGCCCAGGGGTTGAGACCAGCCTTGGGCAACTTGGTGAGACCTTGTCTCTACAATAAATCAAAAAATTAGCTAGGCGTAATAGCACACACCTGTAGTTCTGGCTTCTTGGAAGACTGAGGCATAAGGATTGCCAGAGCCCAGCAGGTTGACGCGGGGGTGGCTGTGAGCATGCCACTACACACAAGCCTGGG